CTGAGTGCGATGGTGTTGAGTCCGGTTGCGCGCCCAAGGCTTTAATACACCCTCCAGAATATTTTCGCGATTATATTCGGCATTTATTCTGATCCGAGCGGAGACGCGGCCCACTCCATCACCATGGCCGGCGCTTGAGTTCTGGTGGCCAACCGAAGGTGCACATTTTCAGCTGACCTCTTTGGCAAGAAAGCATGATCATTTTGTTTGTTTACAAACTGCTGGACAACGAATGTTTTCTCATCGGAGAAAACCATATTCGCCAGGTCATGGGCTATATAGGTCCACGTTTAGGTATAGTCCCATATAACCGAACCTCCCTATATTCGGTATTTTGATGATATTAGCGATATTAATAACCGGAATTATTTCAAATTTCGTATTTGCACTTCGTGATGGATACTACAGCCAGGACTTCATATAGCCCCCATATAACGGTACCTTCATTTTTGGCATTTTGATGAACGACATTTTTAACCGGAATTGTTTAAATTTCGTGCTTCATGGTTATTCGAAAATTTAACCCCTTTGTGCGGGAGATACCACAACCCATTCTCACAGCAGATAAGTAGAAATAATGGGATGTGCGAAATTTGATGAGAACCGGATGCTTATTTCGAATTTTATAATACTTTTGGTTATTCAAAATTTTGATCCTTGTGGGGGGAGGACCCAGAAGGGATGGTCCGATATATACCATCTTTACCATCTTGTGTTGATGGAAATATTGAAATGTAATGAGTCTGAATGGAATCGGATGTTTATTTCGCGTTTATGTGCTCCTTGGATATTCAAAATTTTGACCCTTTGTGGGGGGGAGGTACCAGAAGGAGTTCGCCGATATATCCCATTCTTACAGTAGATCTTGTGTTAGTAAAATAGTGGTATGTAGGAGATTTAAAGAAATTCGGATGGTTATTTCGGATTTTATGATCGTTTTGGTTTCTCTAAATTTTGGCCCCTTGTAGGAGAGGTATATGAGCTCCTTGTATATTCAAAATTGTGTACCCTTTGTTAGGGGGGGTACTACAAGGAGTTCGCCGATATATCCCATTCTCACAGAAAATCTTGTGTTGGTAGAAATATTGAGATTTGTGAAATATGGAGAGAACTGGTTGCTTATTTTGGATTTTATGGCCGTTTTGGTTATTCAAAACCTTGCCACTTTGTTGGGGAGGTACCGGAAGGAATATACCGATGTACCCCATCGTCACAGCAAATCTTGTTTTGATAGAAATATTGAGATGTACCAAGTCTGAATGGAATCCGATGTTAATTTGGCGTTTTATGAGCTTCGTGGACATTCAAAATTTTGAACTTTTATAGGGGAAGTACCAGAAGGTGTGGACCTATGTATTCCATCTTCACACCAGACCTTGGGTTAATAAAAATATTGTGATGTGTGTAATTTTTAAGACAATCGGACTCTTATGTCGCATTTTATCAGAGTTATAATTGTTTCAAAATTAAATCCCTTTGTGAGGTAGGTATTTGATGGAGTGGATCGATATTGACCATTTTCGCACCTGATATAACACTGATGCAAATATTAGGGTTTGAAAAGTTAGAGCAAAATCGGATGATCCTTTCTCTTTCTGTGCAGTCAAATATTGTCTTTGAAAATTCTAACCTTTTGTGGGTGAGGAGTGGATCGATATTATGCATCTCCGAACTCGATCTAAGCTTAGAAATGATTTTACGATTTACCAAGTTTGGACCAAATCGGATACTGCCTTCGAGAGTTAAGTACGCGCCAGCCAGACAGACATACAGACGGACACCACTAGATCGACTCCAAGTGCCCTGAAATGGATTTGATCCAAAGAGACCTAGTGTCTAAAACCGTTATTTGGATGAGGCACGGTTTGGCCGTACCAAATCCTATATACCCTCTGTAGCCATATGACTGAGGGTGTAAATACCTTTATTTTGAAAGTTGATTGGAAGACTTTTAGACTTCATCATTTTTTGGAAAAGCATTAACACATTTTTTTAGCATTTCCATCTATTTTGTAACAAAACGCATATAGAGCAAAACTCGCTTGAATTCGAGCGGAAGTACTCCCGCGAGTATATGTTTTTTTTTTTCCTCTCGAACACGAGCCCATATGTTTTGTTCCCTTTCGAGTGGGAGTAAAATTAGCTCGAAGCTGAGCAGATTCTGCATTGTAGGCGATATCTACCAAAAAGCCATACGATAGTATGGTTTATTTTGTTGATTTACTTCCATGTTTCGGCGGGGGCCTATTAAGCTTGGCATTCCATTTTTAACTATTCGAAGTAAAAATGGTTACCCAAGAAATTACATAGATATATTCTTGATAACCATACAATTCTATGTCGATTAAGTCATGTCCTTTCATCCGTATGTCAGATTTTATATCTTTATGCGATTAAAGATAACCTTTATGACCTGTTTCAAAATCTTCCACATTGCAAGTAATTACATAACTCGACTTTGTGTCCCACTCATCATCAAACATGTGTCTTCAACATCAATGACTGAATTGCCCATTGATGATGATGATTTTTGGTTATAATTACAGTGTGGCTGATGTTCATGACAAACATGATTTGCAATGTTGGAAAAAATCAAAAAAAAATACATTTTGTTAACATTTCCTAGCCACATTATCTGAGAATATTTGGCATTTTTATCAAAAACATAACTTGCTGATCAATGCACGAACAGCAAATTTTAGCAAATCTAACAATAAGCTTTAAATGTTTATTTGCAAAAAAAGCAAACAAAAAGGCAAAACAAAATGTACGCAAACTTCAATGGCTGTGTTGCTGTAGACGTTAATGACCAAAAGGTGTTAATGGCCAGGTTCAGCGGGTCAACTACATATTCGAACATTAATGCCTCATTCATTCCTTCGTTTGTTCGTTCATTCATTCATTATTTGTGGCGGAAATATTGCAGCATCTTCAATGGTTGGCCTTTTTGTCATGCCGATGGTCACAAATGAAATACACCATCATCATCAGCATTGCATCCTACATTTACCATCAGCTAAGACCTCGAGTTTGCTGATGCTATTATATGAAGATGGGCTTTGCTAATTGGAAAATTGTTATAGACTATTAAATTTGCTCCTAAAATAATAAGGTGCTCTTTTATGAGTCCAAATAGTAGGTAGTGATTAATATTTATTTTTAGCATTTCGTCGGTAAAATAAAAGACACTTTATTTAAGTCGTTAACCATTAAAATAAAAGCCTGGAATGAATGAGAATTTTTTCGTATTACATAGTGGCCAAAATTATTCGCAGATCCACTGTACACATAAATTATTTCTATATATACCATGACAACATTTTAACAACATTAGCAAAAGACCAGATGCATGTTTTTTGCGAAGGGAACCCTGGACCCATGGTTCCCAATTAAAGACGTAAATTTAATTATATTATTTTCCAGGGGATTTGAAAATCCAGATAATTATCAAATCGTATCTATATCTTAGGTCAAATTTGCCAATCAGTCCATTATACAACGACTTCCTGATCAAAAACGGTGGATGTTTTACGATTCATTTCCAAGCTTCCTGACTGACAATATTGCTTATATTTACTGGCTGTTTTTACAGACTTCCTGGGACAAAAATTCAAACATTTTAAAGCAGCAGTCCGCCTTCTTGTCTTTTGTGCGATATTTTGATAGGTTCTAGGATTTTCGGTATTGAAAATGCAATGCAAGTTTATCCACTTTTTGATAAAGCTCAACAAATCGGTTCCTCCTGATTTTTCGGTATTTCGAACCAAGTCAGCTGTAATATTACATTTCGGTTTCTTGGAGGTTGTAAAACTTCTCCCAAAAAAAAGTTGCAAATGAATATTTTGGGTTTCCTATGAGTAGATTTACTCCTGTCCAAAAATGCGTTTCAGGGTGAGATGAAAAAACTGCAACCAACTTCAGACTCCTGTAAATTCCTAGCCACTCGTCCGACAGCTATTAAAATAATTCCAGTGACAGCTTATTATACTGTGAGAATTTTCCTGAAAAAAAGTTATTCGTGGTGGAATTCAAGCGTGGTAGTGTGATATTTGGCTGGAAAACCACAAGTGGCTATCGTTAGAGCACTCCAGCATTTAAAGGTTAATAAGTCTTTTGTGTCTCGTACATTAGCAGAAATCGTTCGAAAAGTAAAGGAGCGACTTGATCGAAACCCGCTTCACAGCGGCCGAAAAATGGCTCGTGAGCTGAACATATCGCAATATTCCGTTCGGCAAATATTGAAAAAAATTGGCCGTTTGAAGGCCATAATTCGTGACAAAGGTGACCATTTCGAACAAATCTAAACTTATTATAAAATTTAATACTATTTCCGTCATTTTTTGCTTTCATTCAATGAAATTTAAAAAAAGAAAAAATTAAAAATTATGGCATTGGACTTTCTTTCAGTTTTTTAACCTCACCCTGTACTTTGTTCTAAAAATGAATATTTCGGTCTAAAATTAATATTTCGACGAGTTGCCATCAGAATGAATGACAAACTTAATGTACCCTACAGAAATTAAATTGTTGAAATGGAAATCTTTTAGGGTGGAGGGACAACAAGATGGTAACAGGAAATCACACAAGTAAAAAAAGTTATAAGTTCCGAGAGTCGAAAATTTGATACCCTCCACCATGACACATATAAAGTCAAGGAAAACATTTTCGCAAGCCCATATTACGCCAGCTTTAAAAATCATATACTGTATTAAATATCAGAGAAATACAGAGATTTCTGATATATCCCTTAATAAACGCTCCCACCATTTATTTATTTTTTTTCTTATTTTATTAAATCGCCTTTGTGTACTCTGTTCAAGATGCATTAATGATGAACTCTGATAGAAAACTAAAAAGCAAACTAGAAAACCCTGTAGCATTCACGTCTAATTAAAAACAATTGAACTAATTTTTTTCTCCCTTTTATTTAATTTTTTTACTGATACTATTTCCTGCCGGGGTTTCAACTCCAAACATTACAAACATATATATTAACTTACCATTTTGTGTGTGTATTTGTGTACGGAGGAGAGAATGTCTACGATTCAAATAACCAGGTGCAGTTAATCCTTTCCGTCTTATCGCCTTCCGATGTTCAATTGGTTGCTGGCAGCTCTGGAAATGCAAAATAGAGACAATTGGATTACAATTCAATAAGACGATAAATAATAACAAAAACAAAACACTTTCAATAGCTTAGTTTTTAATTATTTAATGCATCGATCGCATTAAATTACAAATGCCCTTATTTTGCAAACTGAAAAAGTGAGATAGTGTCGTGGTTTAAAAAATGACTACAAACGCATATACTGGGTGATATAAATAAACTGCAACAAAGTCAAAGGCCATAAGTTTAAGATTTTTTTTAAATTTATTGAATAAAAGCAAAACATGTCGAAAATAGCATCAAATTTGAGAATAAGTTTAGATTGGTTCGAATTGGTCAACTTTGGCACGAATTATGGCCTTCAAACGGCCAATGAAATCGTCACACACTGCGCGAATCTTGTTCTGCGGTATTATGGCCCATTCCCGGTGAAGAGCATGATTGAGGTGATCGACACTTTGGTATTTTTTAGTGCCAACCTTGCTTTCCAAAATATTCCAGACACAATAGTCCAACGGATTGGTATCCGGAAATTTTGGTGGCCATTGTGCGCTGGAAATGAAGCGAGGAACCTCATTTTGTAAACATTCTTGGGTGGCGCGTGCTGAGTGCAATGGTTCTGAGTCCTGTTGGAATGTCCAATATCTGCGGCCACGATGTTTGCGTGCCCAAGGCTTAAATAACCCCTTTAGAAATTTTTTTCGCGATAATATTCGGCATTTATCCTGATGCCACGGTCGATTAATATGAGCGGAAAGCGTCCATTGGCTGTTATGGCGGCCCACACCATCACCATGGCCGGTGCTTGAGTTCTGGTGGTCAACCGAAGGTCCACATTTTCAGCTGACCTCTTTGGCAAGTCAACACGATCATTTTGTTTGTTTACAAACTTCTGGGCAACGAATGTTTTCTCTTCGGAAAAAAAACCAAATTCGGCAGTTCACCACTTTCGGCCAAGCGAAGCAACTCTTTAGCTCTTTTGAGTCTATTTTCTTTCTGTAGCGGTGTAAGTTCTTGCACTTGTTAAAATTTCAATATTTGCCGAATGGAATATTTTTTAATATTTGCCGAATGGAATATTGCGATATGTTCAGCTCATGAGCCATTTTCGGCCACTGCGACGCGGGTTTCGATCAAGTCGTTTCTTTACTTTTTGAACCATTTCTGCTGATGTTGCTGTTTTCTTCCGTGAACTTCCTTGACTTCGGGCTACGCTACCAGTATCACGGTAACGAGCGATGGTATGAGACTCAAAAGATTTAATCAGATTTAAATGCTGGAGTGCTCTAACCATAGTCACTTGTGGTTTTCCAGCCGAATATAAAGAAATCACACTATCACGCTTGAATTTCGTCACAAATAACTTTTTTTTCTGGAAAATTTTCAGCAAAATGCTTGAATAATTTTAACAGATGTCGGATGGGTGGCTTAGAAATGACAGCAGCCTGAAGTTGGTTGCAGTTTTTATACCCTCCACCATACATAGTATGGAGGGTATATTAAGTTCGTCATTCCGTTTGTAACTCATCGAAATAATCATTTTAGACCCAACAAAGTATATATATTCTTGATCAGCGTAAAATTCTAAGACGATTTAGCCATGTCCATCCGTCTGTCCGTCTGTTGTAATCACGCTACAGTCTAAACGAATTAAGATAGGAGGCTACAATTTTGCACAGATCTCTCCTTTGTCTGCAGGCAGGTCAAGTTCGAAGATGGGCTATATCGGTCCATGATACCGTATAGCCCCCATATAACGGTACCCCCGATATTCGGTATTTTGATAGTCTTAGCCACATTTTTCAATTGAATTGTCTGAAATTCCACACAAGGGGTTCTTTGTGAGCACTTTACCCCGCTGAAAGGGATTTGTCTTTATAGGTCCACAGTATGGTATATCCCCCATATAACGGTACCCCCGATATTCGGGATTTTGATGATTTTAGCCACATTTCCTAGTGGAATTATCTGAAAATCCACACAAGGAGTTCCATGTGAGTACTTTACCCCCAGACATAGATATGTCTATATAGGTCCACAATATCGTATATTCCCCCATATATCGGCACCTTCCGATATTAGGTATTTTAAAGATTTTAACAGAATTTTCAATGGATTTTTTTTTTCAAATTTTCTAATTCGTTCAAAATGGAGGAGGGTATTCAAAGTTCGGCCCTGCCGAACTTACTGCTCTTTTTCTTGTTTTAAAATAAAGCATAATATATAAATCCTTAGTTCATCCTAACCCTGCTCCACTGTACACATGATTTGTTTCGGTACCCAGTTCGATTCCCAGATGCAGCCTCCAATTATTTCATCAATGATTGTGATTCCATTGATGTAACTCTAGTCTGTCTGTCCGCCTGCCTGCCTACCTGTTAGTCTATCTGATATGTGAAGGTAATGAAAACAAACACCTTTGGAACTGGAAACGTGCATCAATGTTTGTTCGTTTGTTGTCCAACAGCAGGTTGTTAGTTACATTGTTATTGGCGTTGTTGTTGCTGTTGTTGCCACTGTCGTTGTTTAATATGTTTATTGCTTTATTAGATTTTCAACATTTGTTATTTTTAGTATTGAATGCTAGTTTCAAATTCAATAGCAATGCTCGTGGCGCTCGTACGCTCAGCCATAAGGGAATCAATGCAAAAAAAAAAAAAAAAAACTCGACGACAAAGACAATTTGATTAAATTTCATTTGACAGAGTGGAAACGAAAACAATGCATTACAACAACAACGACAATGAAAATCTTGGCGGGATCGCAACAAACAGAAAATTCTAAAGCCCTTTTTGTTGTTGTTGTTTTACATAACATTTCATAACATGAAATTCTATCAAAGCAGCTGCCAATTACAGTTACACTTCATCGCATAAGCATTGTTGTTATCGTTGCTGTTGTTGTTGTTGTTGCTTCTGCTAGTTATGTATAAAATTTCATTGCAAAGATTTATGACCACATTCCAGTAATTAATGTCAACTCGAATCCAATCGGTATTCATTGCTCGCTGTCAGCAGTGATGGCGATGATTTTGTCATTGGTGGTTAATTTGTTGTAGCCCGTCTCGATTGTTGTTTCTCACAACTCTCCCCAAATCGCCAACGCAGTAGCCGCTACCCACAAGTCTTTATCTGTTGCCCCTTATTTTGGCCTGGAATTTTTAGCTAAACTTTAAATGCAAACAAGAAACACGCCAGCCAACATCTACTCCACCACCATAAACTGATTGAAAAATGTCCCAAAAGTTTTGCAACACCGCCTTGGCCAAATCGCATTCGAATCGATTCGAATGCAACGAAAATTAATTTAATTGTGTGTACGCATTCGGAAACATTAGCAAATCAACGAAAAAATACCCAGCAACAATTTTATGACAATCAATTAAAATGTCTTGTAGAGTTTTTTTTTTTTTTTTTTGACAAGTCAGAAATACAATGAGCCTACAGAGATGACCTAGTCACACCTAGTAGCGGGGTGGGTGTGATAATTTAGTTAGTTGGCATTAAATCAAATATATACAAAACAAATTATTTGGGAACAGAGAACAGTCTGGGAAAACAATTTTTTTGGCATCTCCAAGAGAAAAAACTCTTGAGGCGTTTTACACAACTAGTTCTCAGCAGGTATTTTTAGTCCAGAGAACAACCTTAAAATGATGCACAATGTTATAAATGTCAAGCTATTGGTAAATGAATTGTGAGATCTTCAAAAATCTTATTGAAAATGTTCCAACAATTTTGTAAAAAAAATGTAAAAACCATTAAGTTCGGCCGGGCCAAACTTTTAATACCCTCCACCCTAGGGTAAAGGAAACATTAGAAGAAATGTGGCAAAAACCATTAAAATGTCGAATATCAGGAGGTACCGTTATATGGGGACTATACCAAATCGTGGACCTACACATGCAATGTTTCGCCAAAGGTTCTAGAACCCATTATGACCTACAAATACCAATTTTCAGACAAATCCGTAAAAAATGTGTCAAAAATCATCAAATTACCGAATATCGGGAGGTACCGTTATATGGGGGCTATACCAAAACGTGGACCTAAAATTACAATGTCTCGCCACACGAACTGGGACCCATTATGATCTACAACTACCAATTTTCAGAGAAATTCTCGAAAAAATGTGTCAAAAATCATCAAAATACCGAATATTGGGAGGTACCGTTATATGGCGACTATATCAAAACGTGGACCTATACATACAATATTTCGCTACACGAACTAGGACCCATTATGACCCACAAACATCAATTTTTAGACAAATCGGTGAAAAATTGTGGCAAAAACCATCAAAATACCGAGTATCGGGAGGTACTGTTATATGGGGACTATACCAGAACGTGGACCGATATATCTCATTTTCCATACCAACCATCCTAAACACAATACAAATTGCTCTGCTAAATTTTGGCGCACTACCTATGAATATATATACTTTTTTAGGTCTACGACGAATATTTAAGGATGTTACAAACGGAATGACAAATTTAATATACCCTCCTTTCCAAGGTGGAGGGTATAAAAATACTAGAGGGGAGGTATTTGATTTCCTGAATGAGTGGATAATAATTCTTTCAAATTTTGTATTTGAAGATCTAAATAGGTACTATAGCACATGACAAAAAATTCAGATCCACGTCTTCGTATAGCCCCCATATAACGGTACCTCCCGATATTCAATATCTTAATGATTTTAGTGACATCATTCACCGGAATTGTTTAAAATTTCGTATTTGAAGATCTTATTAGGAATAACAGCACATGACAAAAAATTGCGTATGCATGACCTTGACTTCGTATAGCCCCAATATAAAGTGGTTTTCATTTTCAAGTTCCTGTCATATGGTATTAAAAGTTCGGCCCGGTTGAACTAAGGATATTTTTTACTATCGAAAATTTTAATTTATGGTGAAAATCATATCGAAATCTATTTATGTACCTTTGAGGTAGTCAGGAAGACCAGTAGTATAAGTGTCGGACTGATGGGGAGGTTATACATG